AATATAACTTCCCATATACATAGGGAATCTTTCATTTATAGTTATGTTTATATAACTTAGGTAATGATTACTTCCCGAGCCGCAACTCAACTGTAGGTAAGATATTTTCGGGCCGCAACTAACTTATACTTTAAATATTACCGGGTCGCAATTCACCGGTCATCAACACCGGAAACAAGTGGGGTCGCAACTCACTCTCAGCCAATTGAATGATAAATTAATGCAAGCGAAAAACTTTTTGTTCAATTAACGTCTTCTATATATATTTATTAGTGATATTTTATAATGCGTACATTTAAATTGCTATTAATAATAAATATCTTAATTAATAATTCGATAAGTTGAACATATTGCAACAAAGTCGGACTGGCCGGACCGGGTGCAACACGATTGCGAACGTTTTGACTTTTTTATAACACGATTGTAAACAAATATAACTTATCAAAAAATTTGTTTTTTAATCGAAAAACCAATGATTGAAAAAGTTTTTATAGGTTACGATGCCAATTTTATAATTTCTAAATATGTTTAATTTTGTTTCGGAATTCAATTATATTTTATTTTTTTTTTTAATAAAAACTATTCGATATTAATAATACAATGTCACATTATAGCTACATTAAAAACTTAAATAAAATTATATAAAATAATATGAAGCGATTAAAATTTTGGATAATTAATACAATTTTGAAGTATAAATATTAATAATACTGTTACATAATATATAAACTGAAAAAAATAAAAATAATAGTTTTTAAAAAGTTTTTCTACATTTTTTCTTTCTTTTTTTAAAATTTTATCTTAGTTAGGAATTTCCAGTTTTTTGTAAATATAAAATTAGATCTTTGTGGATATTTTTAATGTTGATCTAATTTTAGATTCATCTTCTTTGGCCATAGGATTATGTTAACTGTTTTGATAGCGCAATAGCAGAAAATCCTTATACCTACTATTTGATTATTTTAAAATTTATTATTTAAAAATTTGTAATTAACTAACACCTAATTTGGAAAAACCGTACGATTAAAGGTAAGTTTAAGCGTTCACATTCGTGTTCCCGAAAAAGGTCTTTCGTAATCGTAAATCACCCGCTGGATTGCAGATCCGCGATCGCGGACTGAAATCCCGATTAGTTTGAGCCCCAAACTTCATATTCATATTTTAAATTTAAACAAGATTATCATTTATTTAAACACGTTTTACTATTTTAAACGGCTTACCATTGATCATAAGTTTATAAAATAAAACGAATATCATCTAACAACTGAATTGTAATAATAATATGAAATTGTTGGCGGGTCGTTTGACTGTATGGCGTACACACACACACACACCAATTAATATAGTTATTAATATTATTTTTAATTTGAAACAATAATAATGGTCGTTAAAACCCCGGAACTATACAAAAATAGATTTAACAATATCAATATACCAATATATTACGCAACGACTGGCATGCACGCTGGACTCTACTCATTAATGACAGTTTGCTTTGCTATGAGTTACCCTTTGTTCATATTAATTATCACCGCACTGGATAAATAAGGGTGTAGAGAATTCAATTAACAAGTGCATTTAAATTGTTCTAATTTTTATTTGACTTACGGTTTAAAATGAATACCAAATTAATTAATGTTGTGAATAAAAAACCGCCCCTTAAAGAACAAAAAAATGTTAGTCAAAACTGGTTCTGTACCGTGGAAGATAAAGTTACTGTAAAGATATACATTTATGCGTCATTTATCCCATACTCTGCAATTTTTGCTTAGGTTAGAAGAACACTGTAGAAGAAGTATATTTAAATCATTAATATACCAAATCAGTCGAGTTTTTTTCATAAAAAAAAGATAACTGTCATCTCTATATTTTTAATTAACATATTTAATTTGATTTACTATAGGTGTAATAATCTACCTAATAGATACATTATAATTTATTCAATCGTTTCAACTTGTACTCCACTATACCTTTGATCTTCAAAATACTACCCTCAAGAACAGGGTAACTCAGGTGATGGTGTACAGATATTGATATTTAGTCATATGAATAAACCTTGTGATACGTTGCTATAATATCGTTTCTATTGTGTTAATTTATGAGCGCAGGTCATAAGCTACTAGGCGCTGTAAAATATAACCTAGAAAACTTTAATTGTATCAATTCAACAACTCGGTCCTTAATACCGGTTCGTGTAGTGGGAATAGATAACCCACTACTAGATAAAATTAGATATAAATATCGACAGCCACTTGGTTTTAATAAACGGGTAGGTTTGTTGTATTACGAATGTTATGGTTTCTTCTGAATCGAAGGTAAAATTAATTATAATAATGTAATATGTGTTTATTAGAAGAAAAAAAGTACATAAATGACTTGTGAACCAGATGCATCTGATTAAAATGATATACAAAAAGTTTGTACTTCAACTAAACTATGTATACAGGATTAAGAATCTACTACCCTGGAATCTAGCTCTTCTTCAATTATTGGTAATTTTGCATTTTTTACTATGCCAGATCGCATAAGTTCAGTAGAAGTAAAATTATTTTTCTTAAAAAATTATTCAATTCAACCAATCTCATTCGATTCGAACAATAAACTTCTTTTTGATTCTAATAAGGTTTATTTTAAAATAACAAGTAACAATGATAATATTAATAGAAAATGGTTGTCTTATTGTTCATGTTATAAAAATATATTTATACTACCTATATGACTTTTGGTAATATCAGTAAAAATGTCAGTAATTTAATAAATTAATTGTTAGTGGATAATCCAAAAAGTAAAACATTAAAAATATAAACAATTATTAATGCCAAGTAGGTTTGTAATGTAAAAAAAATGTAAGAAATTTGCCCTGCTGTCCAGATAGGTAAAGATGTCGAATGTATATCGCCACTGAACAGGCAATGGTGTACTCATTGGAAAATGTGTTATTTGCATCGCATTATAAATCAATGTAAGCGAAAAACTTTCTGTTCAATTAAAGTCTTCTACCTACATTTATTAATATTTTATAATGAGTATATTTAAATTACTATTAGAAATAAATATTTTAATTAATAATCCAGTAAGTTGAACATATTGATATAAAAACTTATCACAAATAGTTTATGATTAGGCTGATCTGTACGGCGAGTTTTCCTATTACAAATTAACCCGTCACTGGTCTCGCGGGGTATTAATCATCTCCAAATGTATTAATACTTATTTGTTTTTCCATAATTATATATAATACGGATTCGTAACTCTGATAAGCTTATCAAAATCATATCATTATTCGATAATAACATTTACTTCCATAAAAACAATTAAATTTATTCAGTACACGCCTGTCAAGAACAATTTATCCGTTTGGAGATTATTTACCCCGTGCGACCGAAAAGTAATTTCTTATTTTACATTTTTTTCAATTTAATTTTCTCTTGATTCTCATTATAAAAAACATGGACAAAATTGAGAGACGGAGGATGACCGTGTTTATTAGAAAGCAATGAAGAATATAATTTATTCGGAGGGGTTTCAAGTGATGATAATATACCAAAATATGACCCTCGTGATCAAAATACAGATACAGAACTTTCAATGTCTAGCGTGAGTTCTATTAGTAATATTTTTAATGAGTTAGATTAGTTGAATAAAAACAACAGTGTGATAAGACAAAGTGCTTGTTAGCCTCTTACAGTATTTTATTCTCTACTCAATATCAGAGGACTAAATTCAATAAATGTGTATCAAGAAAAAATGCTTGGAATTATTGTAAACATTAGGTAGGACGCTTATGGAGGATCATTTAAAGTACATAATGACAATTATTAGCAATTTTCCCAAACAACTAAAAACAAGACTTCTAAATATTATGTAACGGTAATAAAATAATTTATATATTCAATATGTTTTTCAAAATATTTTCGTATAATTATAGGTTAAAAGAAAACGGCTCTGTCAAAAGTTAAGGTATTCGAATCGATGTGTTTTTTGTGAAAGAGAGAAAGACAAAAAATAACTTATGTGAGCACAAATTGCATAAAGTGTACTAATGTAGAGATTAGTTAATAGAAGTTTGCTTAGATTGTTTTACATAATAATAATATTAATAATATTATATTACCTAACAGTTTTTATTATTTTTTAAACTATAATGTTATGATGTCATAAATAAATGTTTAGTTAAGTTAGGTAATTAAAGTACACTTATGTAAGTACTTTAAATGGCACCGAACACGAAATACGTGAACAATATTAACAAAAGGAATAAGAAGTTCATTAAAAATTAAAATATCGCAATGGACATTTCTACTTAAAATAATTTCTCACCAAGTAAATAAGTCATTACAATTTGAAACTAAGCAGTGTATTTGAATAAAATTAAATTTACTTAGCATTTATTTATGATATCACATTTTTATGGCTTTATAGTTTTTTTTTTTTTACTTGGCCATTTTTGTGACACGGAGTTCAATGAAGAGTTTTTGTTATAACTATACATATGAAATGTAAATTATATAATAATCAAAAGTAAGTATTTAAGTATGTTTCATGTGACAAAAAATGTTTACCCTGTGCAACCAATTGTAAAAAAAAAATATGCTTCCAGCAGCGGATTAAGTGATTAAAGATTTACGCATCCTTTGATTTTGTTACATGCTAACTGCATAGATTTTTAACACAGTTATTAGGATTTTTTTAGTAATTAGACTAATTTTAATCTCTTCAAACTCTCTTGAAGTATACTGTATACATCATGAACCTTTTTTCAAAAATTTAATCAACATAACATCAATCATACTTAAATTATCCCTAGTAATATAAACTAATTTACTATGTCCACTTAGCTGAGTTTATGTATTATTCACTGTTTTTTTTTTTTTTTTTTTTAGACATGATAATTGTTATTTATTATACCAATTTGTTAGTTACAAATTACCACAATAATATTCATTTATATTGTTATTGTTATTCATGGTAATTACAATTCAGTAATTCAGTAAATTAGATATTATAAATTATCACCTGTTACGAAATATATTATAGTGTTTCTTTTTCAATTTTACAGAGTCTAGGATTCCTCGAATACTTATAATAAGCTTGATTGGCACCTATTTTTTTTGCCTAAAAAAAAAAAAAAAATTGTGTCCTTAAAATTAAAATTTAGTGATGCATATAACATATTTTATTGCACGTCGATACTGTGTTTAATATATTTATGTATTAAGCTCTTTAAATTCAAAGATAAAAATTATATTGAAATTATATTGACTGCTACTTCAAAAAAGTATATACAAGATAAAAAAAAAAATTCACCAAAAAAGTGGAAATTTTTAGAAATTCATAAATATATTTTAACGATGTGTAATATTCAAAAATCATTAAAAAGCATTATGCATGATTTGCCTTTGTAATTGCAATTTTATTACGCTCCATCAAAAACATAGAAAATAGTTCATGTGCTTCTAAATTTCTCAAACGGTCCTGAAATTAATCAAAATTGCTGTGTTTAAAAATAGTGATAAATAAAGCTAAAACTAAAAAAGTGAGAATTATAAAAATGACATGGCTTAATTTTGTATGACCTAAGAAACGAATTTATCATATAAATTAAAAGTGTATATTAAAATCTATTGTATAACATTGCCATATTATTTTAAATTTTATTTACTTTTTTTCGATAATATACTGCTGCTCAGTAATAAAAACCTTTTTTTTTTTAAAGTAATTAACAATTTGTATCAATATTAGACACAATAAGAAAATGTGGTAAAGATAAACGAGACATGAGGTTTTTCTTGAAAGAAGCCCCCCATTTATGACACTTTCTGCTAACTTGATAATTATTTATTAATTTTTTTTTTTTTTTTGTAATTAAATTTAGAATTTAATTTAAGAGGTCTCGACACCACTTACGCTTCAGACGTCTCGAAGGATTTCCTGGAATTGAGGGATTGGCCAAGTTTTTTATTAGTTGATTTGGATGATTATTTAGGCGATAATGAAATCTTTTTTTAAAAGATTTTAGCTTCATCGTTTATTGTGTTAAGTTTTAAGTCGGTTTTAAGATTGGACTGTTGTTAATGGATATTAGCACTTTGTCATCAGCATAATCAGCTACTGATGTGTTGGGGGTAGAAGGTTGATCAGAAGCAAAGATGTTATAGAGAATTGGTGAGATGATGCCACCTTGAGGCACACCAGCATTTATAGGCGCTAAATCAAAAAGATCGGATCCGTAGTGAACTTGAAAATAGCGATCCGTTAAATAGGATTTGATGAGTAGATAGTAAGTGGGAGGGATGAATTTCTTAAGTTTATATAAAAGGCCATCGTGCCACACCCTATCGAAGGCTTGTGCAAAGTCTAGGAACACACAGTTACAATAAAGTTTTTTTTCCAGGGAATACGAAATGGCATCTACGACTCTGTGCACTTGGTGTATGGTTGAGTGAGATGTCCGAAAGCCGAATTGGGTATTAGGAAGAATATTATTTTGAGTAATGATATGTAGAATACGTTTCAGAATTAATTGTTCGAGGATTTTAGCGAAAAATGGAAGAAGGCTGATTGGTCGATGTGATGAATGAATGTCCGGCGGCTTATTTGGTTTAGGAAACAAGATTATAGTGGAGAATTTCCACAGTAGAGGAAAATAAGAAAGTCTAAGTGCAGCATTAAATATGTGAGTGATGTGAACGATAGCTCTAGTTGGAAGGGATCTGGCTACTTCCACAGTAATGCGATCATAACCCGGTGATTTGTTTAGTGAGCATTTTAGTTTGGCATATTTCACATCGTTTGGTGTAAATGACTTGACAGGGAGAGTTAGAGGAAGGGAAGCATTCAGGAACGTTTCTACTGAGTTCATATTTTCATTGTCAATTATCTTAGAGTGTGGTTGAAAGTTTGAGAAAGATGCTCCTTAAAGAGTTCTGCATTTTCAAGGTCAGAGGTGGCAAGTCTACCGTCTGATTTTTTGATAGGGAGATTTGGTGATTTGTAACGAAGAATTTGTTTTGTTTCCCTCCAGAGACTACCATCTTTGGGAGTAAGCTTCAATGAGTGATTTTGCCAAACATTTGTCTTAATTTTTGCTAGCATTTTTTTCAAGGAATTAGCTAGGTTATTGTAAATTAGTTTATGGGAAGGGAGCCGAGTGCGCTGGAAGAGAGCTCTAGCTCTCCGTTTTTCGACTATTTTGTTACGTATGTACACAGATAATGGATCAGACGAGGGAAGAGCTAGAATAGCATTTGTAGCTGACCAAGCTGCAGTTTTTATAACATTGGTAAGGTTATGGATCGCTAAATCTATATCATCGGGTGTTTTTAGTTTTATGTTTAAATTTATTTCTTTATTGACTAGTTCAGTAAACATGGAATGATCTGTGAATTTATTAAATAGTTTATTGGATTCTTTATAAGTTGGGGAAGTATTGAGAGTTAAGAGCACTGATGAGTGATCGGAATTTAAATAAAGTAAATTTTTAGTAGTGCTAAATAAGTTATTTGGTAATTTGGTCACAAAAATATCTAAAATATCAGGGTTTTTCCGGGAAGACGAAGGCCAATACGTTGGGTCAGGTGGAGCTAGAACTTTAAATTTTTTTTGATTGGTAAAATTATACAATATGACACCACGTGGGTTATTCACTCAGCACCCCCATGACTGGTGTTTGGCATTGAAATCGCCACCTATAATAAAGTAGTTATTAAATGTGCTAAAGTAGTCAGAGAATTGTATGTCAGTAACGATATGCTTAGGGGGCGAGTATATAGCTGCAATAGTGAGTGGATAATTATTTATTTTTAAATTAATAGTACAATATTGGAGAAAAGCTTGGGAGAAACTAGGCAAGGGATTAAATTCTATAGTGGATTTAATAAAAATAGCAGCACCACCGTGTGCTGTATTATCTGGGTAATTTGTTTTAATTAAAGTCTAACCGGGAATATGGATATGTGAGTATTTTGTGAAGTGAGTCTCAGAAATAAGGGCAATGTCAATGCGTTTGTTGATAAGAACAGATTCTAGTTCATTGACATGGTTTTTGAGTCCATTAGCGTTAAATTGTATTATTAAGAGCGAGTTGTCAGTGACGGAATTATTATAATTATTGGCCATTATTTGTCGGGGAGCTTGGAAACTACTTTAGTTAATAGAGCTATAAGAGGCATAATTAATGTTTTAATTTCGTCTATAAAATTTGACATTAATTTGTTTAAATCAAGAGGATGAGTTTCATTGATAGGAGTTGAAGTGTTGTTAACTGGAGTGTTGGACGTAGCCTGAGCGTAAGTTTGTGTTTGTGGATTAGAGTGAGTGTGATTTGATGGGTGGTTACTTTATACATTAATGGATTTAGTTTTATAATTATTATCTATTCGGTAACTTGGCGCGCTGGATATTTTTCGACGTTGAAGTTCTTTAAAGATTGAGCAGCCTTTGTAGTTTGCTGGGTGGCTTTGAGAACAGTGGACACATTTCGGGCATGCAGATGACTGATGATCCGCTCCACAGCGAACACAACGAGGATGATATCCACAGTAACCTCTAGTGTGTCCGTATTGTTAGTAATTGAAACATTGACTGATTGTTTTTGGTTTATATGGTTCTTCAACTTTAATTTTACAGTGAAGTAGTGAAGAAAGTTGGAAAATTTCATTTGACTGAGATGTTGGCTCAAGATCAATGAAGAATAGTAGGAGGGGGGTTTTGCTGACTTTGTGTAACACATTAGTAACTTGCCTTACCTCAAAACACCGAACTTCTAACTCCTCTTTTATTAGAGTTAGAGGCGTGGATGAGTGCAGGTTGCGAATAACTACTCGGAGTGGTTTGTCCTCTTTCAATTGGTAAGTATGATATTCAGCTTTTTCAGTTTTTAGAAATTGTATTAATGCTCTGAACGCACTAGGGTTCGTGGTTTGAATTTTTAATGAGTTAGTTGTAGACTTGCACATGAAATTGTCTACACCAATTAGCTCGATTAAGGTCGTACATAGCTCGGGATAATCTTCGACACCTTTGACAAATATAAGTGGAGGAGGTTTAATGAAAATTTCGACATCAGTATTATTAGTGTTAGTTTGATGAGAGTTGGGTATATTTTCAGCAGTAGTAGTTTCAAACAAATCGTCTTGGGCAAGTGTTTCGAATCTGTTACGTGTAACAAAAATCTTTTTTTTATGGTTTGTTAATATAATATTTTTACTTGGATTCGGAGTTAACGGTTCGGAAGCTGAATTTTAGGAGCTGGAAAGATTCCGTTTATTCGTTTGTGCTGACCGGCTATCATTATTCATGCTGTTTGAATCGGGCTTATTTGAAGGACTGATTTGGCGAGCCTCCTGTATATTGGTTTTGTTTTTGTTGATAGTAATAATTTTATTTGTATTATTAGTTTGTACATTTGGTGATTTAGGCATGTTTATCTTACGGACAAAAGTAGTCCAGTGTTGCGCGGCGCGGTCGAACGCGACGAGCAGGTAATGAGACACTTGAGACTATTACGAATTGAATCAGTTCACATAATGTAGACGCTAGGTGGTTATCAATAAAAGGAAAAATATACTGATACGCAGCGGTACTAAAGGAGCGACGACACGGGCGTGCGTTAGGTACGGTTGCTCGCACGTTACTAATAAAAACCTCATTTGGAAGGAATAAATACAAAAAGTCGATTGTTTAAAAACATTAATTAAAATATATAAATGGAAAATGTGTACTGTTAGACTAAATATCAAGAATGACAAGGTATCGGAATTAAATAAAATAGGATAAATAAAAAAAGTTTGTCGAACATGCAAAATTAACCCAAAACTTAAAAAACATTTTTTTATGAAACGTGCTTAAAAAATAAGCAATTATTATAATATGGTAAATATTTTATAAAAACAATGTAGGAAGACATATTTTACGATCGATGTTAAATTTAAGTATGTAGCATAAGAAATTAACAATTTGTGAGGTATTCCAATACTTCATCATTCCGCTTAAAAAAATTTAAATATTTATTACTTAAAAACTATTGGACCAAATGTAGATTGTTATCTATTTAAATAATTAGAAAAATATTTTGGTTAATATAAAGTTAAATATGAATGTTAAAAAAAATAAAAACTTAAAATTTAATATGATAAAAAATATAAGTTAGTTTTAAAAACAACTTTAACTGGAGATATTAAGCGAAAACAATGTTTTCAAAAACCTTAATTGATCTTGAAATAGTGAGTGCTATTCGATGAATGAATAATTCATTACATGCTCACACAAAATATTTACCTAATTCTTTTATATTTCATTTTAAAACGTTGGAATATTTTTAAAATCCGTAAAGTAATAGTTAAATAAGTAAAAAAAAAAAAAATATTAGTTTTAATAAAGATATACCTCAGGAGTAATGACTGGTTCGGAAAGTGCATCTATTAAACTACCGTACATTACAACTTGGTTGTGTGTATATTTCTGATGAAATCTATATCGTATGATGAGAAATTCAATCCTATTAACATATTGACATGTTAAATTCTTTTTTAGATTCAGAATTAAATCTAACATAAACCGCTGGCTTATAAAATTTGATAGGCTTGAATATTTTGACTTTTTCAATTTCCAATCACCAGGCCTATTAAAGTTTTCCCAATCATCTATTTGTAATAAATACTGAAAATAAAATTTTGTTAAGCGATTAATTTTATAGCTCATTTAAAGCGTTAAAATTAAAATTATTTTATCTAAGAGAAATTATCGGGAAAAATATATCATATAATAGATTATATTTAATTTTTTAATAATTACCACGATTATAAATAAGATAGATTGATTGATTAGAAATGTTTATGTTATAATATTAATTATATTTGTTCGATAGTTATAAATGTTATTTGTGGGACTTTGAAGTAACATTTTTTTATTTTAATAACTAAGAACATATGAGACAAAAATTAAATGCTAAATTAATTTTTAAGAAATTTAAATCATTTAATAATTTTTTTCGCTAATAAAGATTTCTAAGTGTAAAATTATTTTGGTTGTAGTAATAAATAAGTCAAATAACTATGTATTCAGGAGTTATTATAAGAAGAATTAAAAAAAAAAAAAAACCGTAAATTTTCAATAGTTTTTTATGAGATAATTAATTGGTTTTTGTAACAGGTTAAAGGTAATAGTGAATATTTATTTTTAATTTTTAATTTGCCCCTAAGGGTGAGATTTAAAATACATTCTCGGTAGTCCGTGCCTGTCGTAAGAACCGACTGAAAAGAACCTAGGTAACCAGCGTTTCTAATATTAGGTGTAGATAATAAAGATTATCTACACTCGGACACCAATCCCTTGAAATAGGGTTTGGACTGTGATTTAGAAGGCAAAGGGAAACCACCACATTAACATCCTTAGTTAGGCAACTACTACACTTGACTTCTAAAATAGATTCTCCAGAGTAAAAGTGTTGTCCGAATATAAAATAGCTTCCCGTTTGGATGTCCGAGTGGAATATACCATGCAGGATACATAAAAACAGAGAATAGGAACGTGAAACATATAAATAATGTTGAAAGCAGAAAAACTGGAAAATACAAAAATATAAATAAAAAGATTAGATTTAGACATATTAGCATTATGCGAAATACGTTGGTCCGACAATGGTGACTTTTGATCAGATGATTTTAATTTTATCCATAAAAATAGTACAAAAGGACAAGCCGGTGTTGGAGTTGTTAGAGTAGCAGATTATTTTTGGTCAAAAAGGAATTAACATCAAACAATCTGGTAATTATACAAGTTTATGGACAAACGTCAAAAGCAGATGATGAAGAAGTAAAAGAAGTGTAAGCAGGCATGGAAGAGCTTTTGAAATATGTCAATCCACACGATAATGTAATCATGATGAGATATTTTAATGCTATATTTGGTGAATGCGGAGAAGGTAGAGAAATCGGAGACTTCGGCTAAGGAATAACGAATGCAAGAGGAGAGAAAATAGTAGAGTTCTGAAGAATAAATTGGATGGTTATAACGAATACCAGATTTCAAAACCTCAAGAGAAGAATATACATACGGAAAATGCCAAGCAACGTTGCCCCCTACCAAAAACTTTAAATACTGGTGAGAAATTGCTTACTATTTTAATTCTAAATCTTAACAAAAATAATAAAATGAAGAATAGAAGAAAAAGTGGAATAGTACTTTAAAAATGACCAATATGGATTTAGAAAACAAAAAGCACACGAGAAGTAATTTTAGGAATGTGAATTTTAATTGAAAAACAGATTGGTAAAAATAAAGTTACATATTTAGCCTTTATAGACCTGGAAAAAGCTTTTGATAAAGTATATTGGAATAAAATTCTGCTCACACTACAAGAAATAGATGTTGATCAGCAAGATCTAAGAATGATCCACAGTCTCTATAAGAATCAGACAGCTTGCATTGAAAAAGGAGAAATCACTACAACTAACACTCAAATAAAAAAAAGGAGTTTGACAAGACTATACGTTATCATCACCAATCATTAATTGTTATATCAAAAAAGTAAAAAAAGTTAAAATAAATTAAAACAAAGCTAAAAAGACTAAATACTGGAATCTAAATTGGTGGAGAAATTGTTTCAAAGATACGTTTTGCCGATGACATCGTGATTATAGTAGAGATTGAAGGGAACATACAGAGTGCAATTGAAGAAACGGATGAAATGCTCGGAACATCAAAAATGAAAATAATAGTCCGTGCCAGAAACCCAAAAGTAAAAGCTGATGTATAAATTGATAGCCAAAAACTGGAGCAAGTTGAGGAAATGGTATATCTAGGGAAAATTACATCTGATGGTTAAGAATCATTGTCACTACTTTTAGGTTTGTTTAAGAAAATGTATCATTTACCTAGATATTACTTAGATTTGATATTCAAGTTACAACAGTGGTCTAATATTAATAGAAAGTGTTTAAATAAATGAAATATCACAAATTTTAGTATTATTGAATATATATAAATACTAGGGATTAGTGCTTGCTCATTTTTAAGTTTTAAAAAATATAATAGTTGATCCTCTTTAAAGTTTTCAGTTTTAAAGAAATTTTTCATTCTTCATTACTGTTTATATCATTATAATCTCCTCAAAAGTAGTTAAAATTATTACGAATATATTCCATATAATTCCATTAACATTATGGGCGATAAATAATTTACATTCTGAAATTCTCGTCGAATATTCTTTGCTATTTAACATAAAAATTGTTATTA